CCCACTCACACAGCTGGGAAAGTGTTGGAATCAGAATTGGAGCCCAGAACCTCTGATGCCAAAGCCAGCGCTTTCTCCACCCATAACTCTTCAGTACACAATGGTAAATCATATGAAGTAAAGAGAAAAGGAAAGGGTGGTGGGTGTGGGACTGTGGAGGGAAGGCCTCAAGGGCCTGGAAAGAAGTTTGAATTTGCTAGGGGAGCCAATGCATGTTTTAAACCCCATAGAGTGACCTGGTCGGACCTCTGCCTCTGGAAGTTTTCCCTGGTACTTTGTGAAGGATGGACTGATGAGACACAAGGCAGGGACGGGTTAACTAGTTAGCAGGTTCAGAGCTTCCAAACCTTGGAATAGGAAAGCTGATATGGACCTCAGAGAATTGAATGGGTTAGGAGCCCACGTAGCTCACTGAGGCAGCCCTACTAGAAACAGCCTTCCCTACTGACTGATGAATCCTTTCTTCAAGCCTTCACCTCTATCCCATGAGACAACTGAGGTCTGATAGACCTTCACACCAACCATTGACACCCAAGCTGACTGTGTCTCCATTATTTAGCTCATTCCCATTACCAACACCACCACCACTAAGGACTACTGATTTCTAGGACTATCTCCTCTCACCCCTTACTTGCTTACATGCAGCCCCACTGCATCCCACAAACACATACATACATCAGGACCCAATGGTTATATCCTAAAGCAAACCCAGCTGCAGAATTCTGCGGGTAATTCTTTGGAAGAGAGGAAGGAATGATGGTTTGGGGGCACCAATGGGAAGCATGCAGACTCAGATGACTGAGAGGAGGATGGGGAATTCATAGACTTTGGGAACAGTTTGGCACTTTGGGAGTGAGGGGGTTTAGGGCAATGAGAAACTCATAGTATGCTCTGCTCCTCCCCCAACAATGTTCACTGCTGGGGGCCTTCAGTGAGGGTGGAGTGGTGAGGCTCCCTGAGATGAGAGAGAAGTTCTCTTCCCACCCCCAAGATAACCTGATCTCCACCTCCCTTAGGCCCAGATCGACCAATATGTTGGGCTGGTGAACAGTCAGCTGAGTTACATCAAGGCTAAGTGCGTACTGCTGTGTCTGTGGCTCTGGGAAGGGCAACGAGGCCTTTTGGGTGCATCCAAACGCCTTCTCTCTCTTCCCTTGGTCCCAAATTCCATCTCCATCCTTACTCACCCCCTTCCCAAAGAACTAGTGGACACCTCCTGTTTTCCCACTGCAATTCCAACTACAGCCACTGGTGGCAGGCATGGAAACGCGCCTGGACTGTGGTCCAAGCTATGGCTGGGAAACAGGACCCTCGAGTCTGGTTACTCGTGGTTTTGCCATTGACTGACCATGTGACTTGGAATCAAGTCCCTTCTTCTCATCTTTAAAATGAGGGAATTGGAGCCGATGATCCCTGAAATCTCACTAACCCCTACATTCTGTCTTCAAAGGTCTCCCCCAGCTCTAATGCTTTCTGTTTCAAGGGCCCTTCTGCTTCGCTCTGACAGTCTTGTTCCAAGACCCGTCCCAGCTCTGACTTTTCCTGTTCTAATGTCTCTCTCACCTCTGACATCACCTGTTCTAAGGTTCCTCTCAGCTCTGATATTCTCTGTTCTGAGGTCCCTCCCAGCTCTGACATTCCCTGTTCTGAGGTCCCTTTCAGCTGTGACCTTCCATTTTCTGAGGCCCCTCCCAGCTGTGAAATTCCCTATTTTGAGGTCTGATGCCCTATGATTCTTGCACATCGAAAGTTACCGATTATAAGATGTATGTGTGTGTATGTTTATGTATGTACATGTATATCACATATTCTAATTATATCTCTTATTTCTCAGGTTCGGCATTGTTTTTCCTGCAGAATCTATTTAAAGATCTCAGGGACTCGGGCCTCAGCAAGTTGCCAAGCCAAAGCTGAATGTGCCCCTCTTCCAGCCGGCCCGGGCCCTGCCTGCCCACCGCACCCCAGTGCCCTCTTTCAACTACCCTGCCTGCCTCCCCAATGCAGGATCATACCCACAGACACACACACACACACACAACACACACACACACACACACACACCTTCCAGCTCTGGTGAACCTACCCAGGGCCTCTCCATGCTCAACTATCCAACTCCCTTTCATCCCTGCCTCCACACCCGCAACCCTCCATGGCCTTTAGGATGACATGCACCAGTCTGGGGGTCTGCAGATGGTCCTTGGGTGCCTAGAAAGGCCAGAGACTTGTAGTACCCTAGAGAGGGCAGCCATCCCTGATGCCAGGTGGTCACCCCCTGTCACTCCCTATCACCCCTTCCCAGCTGGGGTGTGAGGTGCGTGTGTGTGTGTGTGTGTGTGTGTGTGTGGTGTGTGGTGGTGGTGGTATCTCCCTGTCTGCAACCCTGTCCCCACCCCTGGGGCATTTCATGGGGTTGAGGAAGGAACTGAGCTTGGGTTTACACTTTAATAAAAACGTGTGGAAAACAAGTGGACTCAAGTAGTCATTTGGACAGTCAACCAACATTATTGGTCAAAGTCTCCTCCTCCCCCTGTCCTGCTGAGTCAATGACCTGGAGACCTGTTATTAATGTAGAAGCAGTGTGCCATAGAGGAGAGAATGCTTGGCAAGGAGAGGCAATGGGACACCGTAGAAATGACACGGCCTGAGGCATGATCTAGGTTCAGATCATGCCTCTCTTATTACCCGGATGACATTGGGTAAGTCACCAAAGTTCTGTGACCCTCAGTTTACTTACAGTATCACTATGATGCTATGACCTCAGTTTGACTCCCTAGGTCTTAACAGCTGAGCAACTCAGTCTCCCCTTTCTGGGTGTCAGTTTCCTAACCTGTAACACAGGGTAATAATACTGATGATACTCCCAGCGTCAGAGAGCTGCTTCGAGAAAAGCATGTCCTAATTCCCTGGAAAAATGGGAGTCTTCAATGGGCAGCACCGTGGAGAGAGCACTGGGGTGGGAGAACACTTTGGAGCCTTGGCTTCTGGGTTTGTTGTTCGGCTGATCTGGGAAATGGTTAGAGGGACCAGCTTCCCCCTCGCTAGAAGGAAAGGATCAGAGCAGTTGATTTCCAAAGGCCGTCCAGGTCTGAGGTTCTGTCATGCTAGAATGACTTGGAGGTGCAAACTAATCAGTCCACGATTATTTAGCTTGCCGTATGTAGGGCTCTGTCGAGTTGGGATCAGCTGGTGAATAGAATGGGCCCAAGCCCTTCCTGTTCAAGCCCTGCTAGGCAACCTTCTCCCAGAGGTCTGATGTCCCCGACCATGGCTGGTTTTCTGGAGGCCAATGTTGCCTAGGAGAGAGCACATAGTTAGCCATGACTGGACTAGGCAGCTGCGAGGCTCAGGGGATGGAAGCCTGCTGGGCCTCTAGTCAGGAAGAGCCAGGTTGAAATCTGGTCTCAGGTCCTTACAACTATGTGACCCTGAGTTCATCTCTGTTTGCCTCAGTTTCCCCCCTGTAAAATGGGTAGTCTAATAGCATCTACTGGGAGTGTTGTTTTGCGCTCTGTGCAAAAGGCTTATTCAGAGACCCCCAGACATGTGTGGATACATTTCAAAGATAGAAGAAGTTGAATGGGGAAAAAGTGACATGTTTATTTCAACCCAATTGGTTGCCTTTTTAATCCTCTATAGTATTCTATGCACTAAAAGCACAATTCTGAGCAAGAGTATGCACAGGTTTCCCTAGACTGCCACGGAATAGGTGGTGAGTGCCAACAGATGGGAAAATAAATTGAGACTCGAGAAAAGGAAAGGAGTTATCCAAGGTCATAGTAGTGGGGAGCAGAGCCAGCAATGCCGCGGTGGGAGCCAGAGAATGTTGTGAAGCCGGAGAGGGACCCTGTCGAGGTGGGCTGGAGGGATTGGGGCCTTGAGGGAGTCCGTGGGACTCCGGCTCCCGAAGGCGACAGTCCCACGTAAAGCCGCAAGATGTCGCCCAAACCCCAGTGTTTGCACCCCGAAGGCGTGGGTATGGAACAACAGCAGGCCGCGTCTACGCGCACAAGGAGCGGGATATTTGATGTCCGAGCCCTCTGGGTTCTGGGCGTGATCCGGAGGATTGGCAGCAATGTTGCCGAGGATGGATGTGCTTTTAAAGTATCTAGATCTTCTGCTACGGCCGCTCCTCCCCCGGGTTAGAGTGCACGCTGCTGTCATTGCCCCGCTGTGTGACCTCGGGCAAGTGGCTTCCCCTCTCTGGGCCTCAGTGTCCCCGGGTGTAAAATGAGGTGGGGTGGGCCAGCTGAGCTCTCAGGGCCGGGCTCCAACATCCCAGGCACTCCTCGGGGGCCTTTCCTGCCTTGGCTGGAGGAGGAAGGAAACCCCGGGGGCTCGGAGGGCAACAGGGGATGAGCAGGAACAACCCACCCCCTCCTCCCTCATCCCCAGCATCGCAGCCCTGGGCGGAAGCCTTGGAAAGCTTCCGGAGGCGAAATGTCTCCTCGAATCCTCTGGGCAATGCAAATGAGGGCATCTTTTCAGCACTAGCTGTCATTCGTTTCATCCCGTAAAACACAGGAAAAAAATTTAAAGAAACCTAGAACTTAACTAAATAATCATATTGCAGTAAGGTGTAAGGCTATATCAATACAAAACGTTTTGCACCCTAATGTAAAATGATTGGATTTCTTAACTTTATATTCCTTTTAGGAGAAGTGGGTGTTTTGCCCTGTTGACCCTCAGTGGTCTGGGGTGCAGGCTTCAAACCTGTAGCTGTCTAGCGACAGAGTGTTTCAGTTTCACCTTTCGGGCCTCAACGGCAACCGTATTTTCCTCAGTGTGAGTATTGGTGAGCTTCCTCTTTTCCTGTTTCTCCAGTTGCACTACTCCTCCCTCCTTTTCCGCTGCGTGAGGGCTGAAGAGTGACCTAAATCAAGTTTCTTTTAATGTTTGGAACGCTCCCGCGGGAGGGATCTCTCCCAGAATCCTCCGCACGATGCAAATGAAGGGCGTCTTTCCAGCGCGAGCTGTCATTCGTACCATCCCGGAAAATAGAGGAAACATTTTGGAGAAAAATAAGGCTTTGCGAATTTATCATGCTTCGGTAACGTGTTGAGGTAAATGAGTTTAATCGGCATACAAAATTTCACACCCTAATGTAAATATATTGTGCTTAGGAAGCTTTATATAGCTCTCAGAAGAGCTGTGTGTTCTGCCCGGATGATCCTCAGTGGTCTGGGGTGCAGACTTCAAACCTGTAGCTGTCTAGCGACAGAGTGGTTCAATTCCACCTTTCGGGCGTTAGGTATTTATCCCTTTTCCTCATCCTGGGTATTACTCACCTTCTCTTTTTCTCTTTCTTCAATAGGACCACTCCTCCGTCCCTTTCCCATTCCTGCGGGCTGATGTGAGACCTTGGTCAAGTTCCTCCTTCTTCCCTGGGCCTCAGTTTCTCTGTTTGTCAAACGAAGGAGTGGAAATATCATGGTCCCTCAAACGCTCCCACCCTCCTCCAGGTCATGCAATAGTGAAAGTCTAGCACTTACGCTCCACTCCCATGCTCTGAGGGCCAACCCGGGAGAGCTCAATTTGAAAAACTCCTCAGGAGAAACTGCAGTGGATCCATCAAAGAACGTCTGGGAACATCCAGGAGGAGGCAGAAGATCCCCAGTGCAGATCCCTGGCCCTGCAGTTGACTACTAGCTCACAGCTGCTGTCAGGCTTACAAATTATTTTGTGTACTTTACCTTGTTGAACTCTCACAACAACCCTAGGAGATGCTACTGTTCTTCCCATGTTAGAGATGAGGAAAATGAAACTCAGAGTGTGATTAGCAAGGTCTCAGAGCTACTGAGTGCCTGAGGCCAGATGTAAAGCAAAGACTTTCTGAGCCCAAGTTCAGAGTTTTAAACGCTAGTCCATGCTGCTGAGATAGTAGAGTTCTTGGCAGGATAGGAGAGGGGAGGGGAGGGGAGTTTACCCCCACTCCCTTAGGTTGCAGAGACAGTACTGCCAGCAGAGACCCGGGGAAGTATCTGGTGATCTAGCCTGTTTAAGTGTGAGGGCAGCCAAGTGGTCTAACCTCAGTCTCCCATGTTATATGCAAAGACGATGAGCAGAAACAAGTCAAAGAGTCTTCTCTGCCTTCTAGCTAGCCCTCATCCTATTGGAAGAATTTGCAAAATAGAGACCCCCCCCCACTCCCTGCTTGGAAGCAGTCTGCTCAAGCCTCCTGCCAGGAAGCCGTCTCAGAGATCTGGCCTCAGTCTTTCCTATTTCGATTTGGTGCCAGCCAGGAAGGCATCAGTTGGTGTCTTGCTTGGGTAGAAATATATCATCAACAGAGTCTGACTGCTGATCATTGCCCCCATTCCCTTGCCTCACAGTCAGACTTCAGTCCTCTGAGCAGCCTAGGAAGAACTCCGAAGCAGAAACCCCTTGCTGGGAAGATCCTCTCCCAGGGTCTAACTCTACTCATGCCATGCTGCCCACGAAGGGAAGGATGAAAGGGACAAAGATGACCATATCCAAAGAGTGTGTTTCTGTAAAGCCTTTTTATTAGGTGGGTTGAAACACTTGAGACAGATCCTGGGGATTGGAGGGAGAGGGACCACTCAGCCCAATACCAACCAGCCCAGCCCCAGCCCCTTCCTAGGGTCCGGTACAAAATACAAAAACCTCGTAAATACAGACAGCATTGGGCATGGGGGTGAGGGGGAAGGGGCTGGCAGAGAGGAAACCAATAAACTTGTGGATGGCAGGAATCCCTCCCAACACCCATGAGTGAGATAGATGAAGTTTCCTGGGCACTAAAACTCATAAATTCCCTTTGTACCGCCAAAGCAGCCAAACATTTGCTGTTCTTGAGCAAGAGCTGACCTGTGTTCCAGTTCCTCTAGCAAGATAAACATTGCAAAAGACTGCTAGCTTAACTGCCAGGGGTTCCTGCTTATCTGTCTCTAGGCAGAACTTCTAAATGGTTATCAAAAGGCTTCCCCATCCTTTGTCTCTAGGCAAATATTTCCAAATAAGGATATTATTGTACTAAGCGTGTTAGAAAGCTGCGTTTAGATTGTGCACCCCGAAACCCAGTCAATGGGAAGAAGGGTTCAGGAAGGGGGAGGGGGTATCGCGTTAGGACCATAATAAAACTTTGTTCTCCACTAACAGATTTTGCACTCCTTGCATGCCATGCTGCTTGAGCGACGAGGGCTGTGCCCTTTCTCATGAGAAAGAAGAAAGCCTTTTCTGATCTCTTACTCAGCCTCCGAACTTTTAATTCTAGTGTGGCCGTCGTCCCACACAATTCGGAGGTCCCACCGAGATTTTTCCGGACTCCTCCCTGAAGGGGGTTGGGAGATTCTCTAGCCTTGACTGACCGGCAGGAGGTCCTGCTGAAATCTTCTCAGCGGCCAGGTCAGACAGGGGAACTGCTCCCCTCTTGGAGAGTGAGGCCCGAAGGGAGACTGACGCCAAGAACAGAAAACGACCTAAGGGGACAAGAAGAGCCAGTTGAGGAAGAAAGGAAGCAAAGAATTATCGGTCATGTAAGTTCTGTGCACAGAACCCAGGCAAGAGTTTATCTGAAGAGACCTGGGGGCTGGATGGTGAGGTAGGAAGACTGGCCCTGTTGAGTAATTTTTCCTACTGAAGGAAAAGGGGAGGAAAAGAACGGCTGCATCTATTCAAGAGTATTACTGAGTCCCTCCAAGAGCGATTAAAGACTGAGTCCCTCCACGAGCATCTGGAGCAAGACACAGGGGGCTTCTTGCAAGCTTGCTTGGTTAAGTTTGTGGGATTGAGGGGGCTAATCGGGGAGTCTCACACCATGGGAAACCTCAGTCTAGGCCGAGTGGAAAAGAACTCCTTCCAAAGGTACTGGGAGCTAGACCATTAGGGACTAGACTAAGTAATTGGAGTGATTTACTGTATCTCTGTTTTGTGACTCTGTGTGTGTGCTGTGTGGGGACTGAGTCTGTGTGTAGGTTGTGACTGTAAGGTTAAAATGCAGTTGGCGAGGGCTGTAGCTTTTCACTTCCTCATTCCTAACTCTAGCCTCAGAGGAGAAAGAGAGAGAAAATTATATGATTGGAAAAGGGCAAGCAGTTTTAAAGGGACTTTCATCAAAGTCCGTTAGAAGGATAGGGAAGAAAGTTTAAGCATGTAGGAATGAAAGAAGTATGGGTAGAAAGAAAAGCATAATCTATTTGAACAAACAATGTGAACAGAGGGTTTGAGAGTAAAAGGTGTGGAAACTTTTGGAGAATTGTCAGGAAAAAAGAATTCTCTCTCTCTCTCTACATTCTAACTCTGGCGAAGTTTTGAATGTGGAGGGAAAGACAAGAAAGAAAAAGGGAACCTTTTCCCCTCAAATAAAAAAGAGAGGTAGCACTTAATCTCTTCTGCCTCACATAAAAAAGAAAAATTTTTGTGTACCACAACACAAACAAAAGGTAATTTAATTAATTATGGTAAGATTTTAAATGAAATGTGATATTTTTAATTTGATGCTTAAGTCAGAATTTATTACACTGTTTGGCACTAAGGTAAATTGGGAAAATGTAAGGATCTGAAATTTGTTACCTCAGTTTATCTCACATGATTGGAAGGTACCTAACACAATGCTGGCAGAGGGCAGAGACTAAAAATGTTAACAACTATTATTGTTAGTTCCTTAATTAGATATGACCAGTATACAATGCCAATGGTGAAGAGAGGTCCAATTTTCTATGTAAGCAGATTTGGAGTCACCTGACTGGTAATGTGTTTGGTTCAAGTTTAAAACATCTAGTATTGTTTCAAATTGGTAAACTTTTGTATCATTATGTCAAGTAGCCATTCACAATTTGGATGTTATAAAGTATGAACTTAAAGAATCTAAAGGACAGTGGAAAAACTCTGCAAAACCAATTATATTACTTGGCGAACCTTCCTAACCCTGTCTCATAATGTTTTCTAACTGCCATTTAGAGAAGCAGGTATTTCCACCTTTACCTGTACTTAAAGAAGGGGTTATGGCTGAAACAATTTGACTAACTAAGTTCTCTGAAGTTACCGTTTTGATATTAAAACCTAAAATTGTTAATTGATTACTATGTGTAAAAAGGAGGGGATTGGGTAAAAGCCTTATCCAGATTAGTTCTGCCCATTCAAAACAGTGCTCCTTGGGATATGGGGGTCAGCAGGCAAGGACACCAAGATTACCTCCTCCCTGGGAGGCCCTGATTGATCTTCGGGAGAAATGGCAGCAATATTAGATACCTTATTCACAGATTCACACATACCATGCAGAAACATACCTTCCAGCTCTGGTGAACCTAGGCAGGGTCTCTGCATGCTCAAATATTCAACTCCCTTTCATCCCTGCTCCACCCCCCACGAACCCCTGTGGCCTTTTGGATAACATGCACCCATCTGGGAGTCTGCAGATGGTCCTTGGGTGCCTAGAAAGGCCAGAGACTTGTAGCACCCTAGACAGGGCAGCCATCCCTGATGCCAGGAGCTCACCGCCTGTCACTCCCTATTACCCCTTACCAGCTGGGGTGTTGAGGTGCGTGTGTGTGTGTGTGTGTGTGTGTGTGTGGTGGTATCTCCCTGTCTGCCACCCTGTCCCCGTCCCTGGGGCATTTCATGGGGTTGAGGGAAAAAGTGAACTTGGGTTTACACTGTAATAAAAACTTGTGGATAACAAGTGGACTCAAGTAGTCATTTGGACAGTCAACAAACATTATTGGTCAAAGTCTCCTCCTCCCCCTGTCCTGCTGAGTGAATGACCTGGAGGCCTGCTATAATAGAGAAGCAGTGTGCCACAGAGGAGAGAAGGCTTGGAAAGGGAGGCAATGGGACAGAGTAGAAAGGACACGGCCTCAGGCTTTATCGAGGTTCAGATCATGCCTCTCTTATTACCTGGATGACATTGGGTAAGTCACCAAAGTTCTGTGATCCTCAGTTTACTTACAGTATCACTATGATGCTATGACCTCAGTTTGACTCCCTAGGTCGTAACAGCTGAGCAACTCAGTCTCCCCTTTCTGGGTCTCAGTTTCCTAATCTGTAACACAGGGTAATACTACTGATGATACTCCCAGCGTCAGAGAGCTGCTTCGAGAAAAGCATGTCCTAATTCCCTGGAAAAATGGGAGTCTTCAATGGGCAGCACCATGGAGAGAGCACTGGGGTGGGAGAACACTTTGGAGCCTTGGATTCTGGGTTGTTGATTGGCTGATCTGGGAAATGGTTAGAGGGACCAGCTTCCCCCTCGCTAGAAGGAAAGGATCAGAGCAGGTGATTTCCAAAGGCCGTCCAGGTCTGAGGTTCTGTCATGCTAGAATGACTTGGAGGTGCAAACTAATCAGTTCACGATTATTTAGCTTGCCGTATGTAGGGCTCTGTCGTGTTGGGATGAGCTGGTGAATAGAATGGGCCCAA